GTATCAATCAAAGCAGGAATGTGGACGTATATTGCAGCGTTAGCGATGCTCTTATTTAAAGTAGCTAAGTCTCTAACTCAATATCATCCAAAGTCAATTCAAATCAACATTGATGTTGTGATCTTACCAGGAAAAGACAGGCTTTTGATATCCAATATTCAAGACAAAATAAACATTTTAGCGTCATTTACAACAAGTGACCAGAAAGAACGAGGCAGGACATATTCAACTGTAGAACCTGCTCAATAGACTGGAATAACCAGACGCTAGAAATTGCTATAGGGTTGAGAACTTGAGACACAGGCCGTATTTCGCTGGACATAACTGATTTGAAATTAAAAGTCAAAACGGAAACAATTGAATGTAAATCAGTTTATATACAATCAGATTACATTATTATATGCGTTGCGACCCATTTGGGTCAATTTTTTAGGTCCCAAATATAAGCGATTTAGCTCCTTTAATATGGACATGCCCATTCCTCGCAAAGTAGCAGCGATTATTACCAAATTTGGATATGGTGTGTGTTTTAATAACCAGAAAGCAAATGGCGGTACTAGCCAGTTATGGGTCACAATAACGTATAATCTATTTCCGTAGCATTGCATAATGTCTTATCTAATAAAACTTGTTTACATTAAAATGGATTACATATGCTAAATATATAATAATATATAGGCCCTGGGACGAGCAAGTCGGCGAGGGGATCCAGGGGAGGGGGTCTTGGTGTGTGTTTCGGGGGGGGGGGTCTCCTTCCGGTTTGGCTCAAAAAAATTCCGAAAGATACATATGGCCTCCAGCATCATTTTGGCGTATATAGCCTGGGTAACTGGAGGTTACTTTACCAAAACACAGAAACTGAGATTTTACACTACAAAATGAAATACCAAATACATCATCTTCAATATAGAAGGCTTGATCTCGCTTTAACTACGTACATCTTATCAAGGCCTTTATGTAATACCCTGCATATTGCGGCACTAATTTCGATTTGGTACAAGCCTAGCTTGTGAGCCCATCAGATTCCTCGATCGTCGCGAATACCAAGTTTTGCGCTTTCTTAAGCTAAAATGTCTACCTGTGATAATCGAGTTGCAAAGTTCAAGGTTCATTTAATGTCAAGGTTTTCGCGGAGGTCGCGATGTCACAACCTCTGACTGGACGCTACTGCTCACGTGTCTGTTGAGAACATATAAGTTCGGGAATTGTGAAGTAAACAAGCAACGGCCAGATGTTGTAAAACTCGCAGTTGTTAAGCTTCAGGAACATGCAAATGCATGTACTACGTTTTAGTTTTACTGGTGTAATAATAATAAGAAGTACACGATTTTGACAGGAAGATTTAAGCAAGCAGTCAAATGGAAAAAAAAAACCCAAAAAACTCGCTGTTATTGGTCGGAAAGGGTCCGCTATTGGCAAAAATATAGAAAAACATCGATATTTTTAGCGCTTTACGAAAGTAAAAGTTTCGCTTTCGGTTTCGTTTTTAATGATCGGGGTCTGGTTTCCAAATAAATTTCCTTGCTTTAATCTAGTAGTACTATCCGTTTTATAAGAGATAAGATGAGATTGGGATCTTACATGTATTATTTTATGGAGTACATGTACCAACAATATGGAGACACGTAGACACGGCAAAAACAGCATTTTCCAATAAAACATTTGACATTTGACACATTGCATTTGACGTTTTACATTTAACTTTGCCCTTCGAGGTATTTTAACTTACCGGAATCAGGACTTTGTACACTCTACTTTTTACATATAATAAATGGAAAGGACATTTTAGCAGAACATTTAACATGGGTGGTCAATCATGTAGTTTAACGGAAACACTTTAAATAGTTGGACATCCTCAAATAGAGAGAGGCTAGTAGAAATTTGGTCCACAGTACTCTCTCTGACCATTGTAGTTGATACTAGTGTACGAACCAAGAATATCCCCAAGACACCTGTCATTAAGAATACAGATGTCTGTATTGTTACAAATCTGAATAAGCTCCCCGATGTACCCCAGTTATTAATTTTCAGGTCTTGGTTGTTTCTTACTTTAAAAATTCATTATCAGGTAGGCCTATGTCATTAAGCAACTGTGAATATGGCATATTTATGCTACAATTATCAGAATCAGGAAAATAAACATCCCTTAAAACACGAGTTCTGGAATTAAAATCACCACCTAGAATTATTTCACCTTGGCTTTTGAAACGTAATATGCCATTCACCAATTCATCAAAAGAATCATACTGTCTTTTACTCCATGTTGGGGAGTATTGTGGTGGAATATTATATACTGGGGCAATGAAGATATCTGATTTCAAATGTAAGTCAGTTTTACAGGCCCGGCGGAGTGGTCCAATATAGTCTACCTTAGGTGATTTACCTAAATCCCCAATCCCCAAAAACAATCATTCGATGCGGGGTACACGGATGGGGGCCTCGCGCTCCTCGAGAAAATTTTGAAAATTTAACCGCCGCAAATACATTTTTCTGCGCTTCTAGCCCGTGAATTAAAGATACATTAGTTAAGGGTGTTCTAAAGAGTTGGCCATCCTTGCTATAATAATTCAAAAATAGATGATTAAAAAAGAAAATATTGAAAATTTAAGTCAAATTACTTTGTTCTGAATGGAATTGTCGCTGTTGGAAGTTTGGACTAGAAATAGGCATCAATTGTGTCTGCACCGTCTATGAGAATTGGCGATCGTTTGATTGACAGACGATAACTCCACTCACATATTCTCGATTATCAAGTAACATGCTCAATGGCTATGGTAGCCTCGCTTAGCAGGCCTTTTATCGCCAGTTTCCGTTAATGGCATCGGCGACTAACGATAAACGTTAGCTTGGCCCGCTATTTATTGATTTAATTTTAAATAGACGACTGTTTAAATCCAAACTGAATCCAAGCCATCCGTGTGTCTACAGAGTTGTGATTTTGAGCTTGTCGTGTAAATAAAGGTCTGATTAATAATTTCTATAACATCTGAAGCCTAAGTAAAGACTTGCAATAGGCAGATTTAGCCTATGTTTAAGCAACTTCAAAGTTTCCAATCGGTTTTTGATCTAAATCCCACCCTTATGCCGACCCGAATTCCAACCATCCCATCAGACTTTTTTTCAATTGCAGCAGCATTCACAAAACATAATCGATGCCAGACAATCTATAGTCAATTCAGTACAAATTCGTGGTATTCAATTAAAAGAAAAGTAAAATTAGTGTGTTATTAGATTTCAGGCACTTTAATTTTGCCAACTAGATGAAATATTAATTTTTGTTTTCACTTTACCCGTTTACCCGAAACTAGAGGGTCCACAAGCCAAACATGTCGAGATCTTTCGTTTATAAACATACATTGTGACCTCTAGAGCGTCCACAACCTTGGAATTATTATGCATTTATTTGTCAAGTTCAGCATCACAGGAAGCCACCATCGAATGTGTTTGCATAAGGGATTTAGAAACATTGGTGAACGCCTACACCAAGTTTAAACATTTTACCTCAATTAGAAGGAGAGTTATTGTGTTCCAAAGTATCGACCAATCAAATTGCTTATCGCTCTGCTTACCCTGGGCAGAAAATGTTCATTATCGAACTTAGTCAAAGTATTGATCGTAAAACTATACACCAAGTGTCCTCACTTTCACTTAATTAAAATTAATGTCATCGCGTCCCAAAGCATCGACCAATCAAATTGCTTATGTATGCTTACCCTAAGCAGAAAATGCTCATTTTCGAACTCCATCAAGGCATTGACCTAATAAATACCTACACCAAGTTTGAACATTGTAGCTCAATTAGAAGGAAAGTAATTGTGTCCCAAAATGTGTGATGGACAGACAGACGGGCAGACACATGAAAGAACCCATTTTAATAGTCCCCTGCTTTCTTCAAAAGGTGAGGGTCAAAAATTTAAAAAGTACACACACTGTAACCGTAAATAAGATAGGATAAGATGTTTATTGCACCAAAACGTCCATTATGGACAGCATGGATACAACTTCAACTTTTTTATTTGCATATATTACGTCCATTAAGAACAATATACATGTACACTTAGACATAGTCATATACATTTAATAATACATAGCTAGGCTACTACATAGGCAAGGCAACACATACATTTATACACAAGGTATAACTTTAAGGGGGTTTCAGTTACATGTAGGTGTTATCACAAAATTTGATTTAGATCTCTTATCACAAGCCAAAAACACATATAAAGCCACTGCCTTGGCAATCGATTTTGGTGGGTTAAAAGAGATTATTAAATTTGTATTTGTAGGAAATCTCAGATATATAACACATGCTCGCTTGGATAAGAAGAGGAAAAACCAACAAAAAAAAAAAAAAAAAAAATGTTTCCTGGTGTTAAATGAAACGAGTAGAGGTAGAATACATTTCAATGAAATACTTGTAGGCATAACCAACATGAATGAGCAAGAGGACTTCTATGCATTTATAACCACATTAGTTCGAATTCACTGTACAACCATCACAGTATAATTTGATTGGTGAAAAAAAAAATTGTTCTGGAAAATATTTTTATTATAGGCCTAACTTAAAAACAACTAGCAACTTCTATTTCTTCTTAATTACTTATAGCATACTTTAAAAGAGATTTTATTATATTGTATGTTTTTGTTCTGCGAGATATTTTATTTTCATAATTAAATATTAAAATAAGCTACACTATAAATCCCAGTCAGTATTTAGGCCTGTTATGAGAGTTCTAATTTTTGACTTCGGTTTATTTTCGTTATCTGCATTTCATGTATAGCCTTTTAGTTTAACCAGATTAAGGATTTTGTAACTTTCTTGTGCAATAAACGGTTTTAACCTAGTCATAATCATAGAGTTATGTTTCTATATATATAGCTCTGAGGTCATAATTATTATTAAGTGGTCTCCGTTATCCAGAATACAATCGTCAACACAAAGAGGTAACTCGTGCAACAAAAACTAAACTTGATTATCCAGACAGTTTTACGTCTGTAAGGTCATCGACCGAAATATCTTGTTACTGTGGTAGGTGAACGCGATAGGGTAACAACATTTGGAGAGAGAGAGAGTGACCGTGATGGCGACGTGATAAAATCATTGTTCAATAGATAATAATTATATCGAGAACATAGAAAACACTTGCTGCTGGAATATCAATTCATTTATTCACATCTACCACCACAATCATGATCCGCAACATCGTGTTTGTTTGTTTACTTCTGTGTGATTTAAACTGTGTTTTGTCCCAACAACCATGGTCTTATGTCCATATGATTTCCACTCTTGGATCCCGATCACAGATTTTAGAATCACAGAAAGAAGATTACGCCGAAGAAATCAAGACAATCCAGGAATCAGCTAAACCGTTATCATTAGACAAATTACAAGATTATGCCCAACGGCTCCTGGAGTCTTCGGAGTTATTAAGGACGGGTGTAAAATTAGGAGCTGATGCCAATGTAACTGTCTCAAAACAGTGTATAAACGACACTACCTATTTCCTAACCTCAATCATCTTGGGACAGCAATGGGCTTTAAGAAGTGAGTATTTAAACTGTAAATCACAATCAGTGCATGCCGTTAATTATAAAGTTAATTATAAATGGACGTTTTGATGCAATAAACATCTTATCTAAATCTTATCTATCTATATAGTGGCCAGTCACTATCATATAATATAGTTGCCCACCCCCACCCCCAGTCCCAGCATAATAATAGTATAAATAAATAACATAATACTCTTTTCCTATGAAACATGTAGAGCCTTTTGTAGGGGCTTTATATATGATCCAGGTAAGGGCACTATCTTTGGACCCCCTCCCCCAAATATAACACTTTAAACGTTAACATTAATCAGTTTTTCAGTGGCGGATCCAGGGGAGGTGACTAGGGTGACTAGTCACCCCCCCTGAGAGTTTTAAAAGACGCAAAATTGGACAAGTTTTTGGGGTTTTTTTTCTTTGAGAACTATTGCCCAGAAGATACCTCAGATAGCACAAAATAGTTTTAACCCCTTTGGACACCCTATGCCCCCCCCCCCCCCTTCACCCCTGACCTCTTTTAGTCCCCACCCCCCTGGAATAAATCCTGGGTCCGCCACTGTTTTTATGAAGTTAGGATTGAGCTTTTTGTTTGCAACTTTCATTATAACTTATACTTATAGTGGTGATAAATCTAGAATTTTTGTGCCCACCCCCACCCCCGCTCGCTTTTTTTTTTAATGCTTAATTGCCTTATCTGTTCTAGAAAATTAAGTTACTACAGATGTGGAATCACTTGATCAACTCTCACTCACCATGGCTCAATTCTGTGCTTTAAATCAACTTTAAGATTTTCCACACAGATCCACCAAGCCCCCACCCCCAACCCCCGTCTCCCCTCTCTCCACAATATTTTAAATATCATTTTTTTGTGTGAAATCTAGGGTCAGCTTGCCCTGCTAACCAGTATTAAAGATACATTATGGGAAGATCAGATAAAGAACTGACAGTTCTCAATATAATAGATAAAAACTAGATGATGTAAATGGATTATGCTGCAAATTTCAGTCAAATTGCTTCACTCTAAGCCAAGAAAACCTTATTTTAAAATCTCTGTAGCCCCGATTGCCATCTTTACTGCTGTTACGATAATAATCAAAGTCTTGATTATCCATTTTAGCTTTTAATCAAAATCGGATTCATATCCAAAGAAAATCGGACACATAAGATGGCATCGAGAGTTGATTATGGTCTGATTAATAATTTAGATAACATTTCAGCAAGCCTGGAAATAAGGCACCTGTCACAGACAATGTCAGACACAGCTTCAGGCTTTGTCAGGCACAAAACCACTGGTGCCTGTCATTTTGTCCGGCACTGATTTGTCTTTTTTATTGCTATTATTAACACATGTCTGGTACTAAGTTGAAAATGTCATGACTATTTTATTAGGGCCTGACATTTTGTCAGATACATGTACATCTAAAACCGTTATTTCCAGGCCTGCATTTCAAGCCTAAAGAAAGACCAGCAATAGGCAGATTTAGCTCCTGCGTAATGTATGTTTAATAAGTAATAAATGTTGATACTACATGTATTATGTTCAACATACCATGTGTGATGTAAAGCGTGGAGCGTATCTTAAATGGATGCAGATTCAACCTAACTTTTGTCCCCTAAAAAATATTGTCAGTTTGATTTGTTTTTGAAGATAAAACTCTGTCTATATTAAAGTGGGGGTTTGGGTTGTCTAGAGATTTAACATGTGCGCATCAAACAAAAAGGTCTGTCAATGAGTCAAGTGACGTGGTTATGATTCCCCACTTGTATGTGATATGCAGTAGGGTTATCTGTCCAACCTCATGGGTTTTCTTCGGTGGCTCTTGTTTCCTCCCACTACTGAAGACCCCTGCTACACGTAAGTGAATTAGAGAAATAAACCATATGTTAGTTAGTCCCAAAATGGCCTAGTAGATGTTAAACTCCATCTCTAGCTCCATAACGTCACTTACTGTAAACAAACTTTGGTTGCCAACTATTTCTTCAGCGTCAGACTTCGATGTAAAGTTCAATATGCCTGTAGATGACGAAAATATAGTGTGTTTCAGTGACTGGATGTCAGTGGATGACGATAAATTAGTGTGTTTCAGTGACTGGATGTCAGTGGTTGATTTTTTAAAAAATTAATGATATTCCTACTTGAAAAAGAAGAACAGTAGGACATTAAACTCCATTTCATTTCCTACCATAGATTATATAACCTATTATATGGTCCAAAGTCAAAATAAACTCATACACAAAATGACTTCCGTTAAATCTAACAAAATGAACATTTGATCTTATAGTAGAGACATCTGAACGTCTCATTACTCATTTCATAGCAGATCAATCATTTCAGCAGTTTATTTTAATATGTTAAGTGTATAGAATTGTAACCTTTTGACCCAGAGTGAGAGGTCAGTTATTGCCAACAGGTTTCAATGCTGTGGTGTTTTTTTGTTCAGGGTAGTTATGTATTGTTACCTTCTTTTACAGCAAAGCCTGCTATAACACCTTGAGCTCTCGTTTACTTATTATATTATAGTCCAGTGGACCTTAACCCCCCCCCCCTCTCTCTCTCTCTATCTCTCTCTCTCTCTCTCTCTCTCTATCTCTCTCTCTTATTAAATATTAAATTTGAATTAAGTTGATGATCAAATTGGTAAACCTAATTAAATGGCTTGCAGACATTATATCAGAACCTGCCAGTTGGAATTCAACAGGGACGTAAATTGAAAAGCCTGCACTGTATGGTTGAACATTCTCCCCAAAAATATCTACTCATTCTTTCCAACCAATATGTGTTTCCAAAACATACAAAAATTACAAATGTGTTTCCAAAACATACAAAAATTACAAATAAATGTATCTGAGGATCGTGATTTTATTGATAAATGTTGATATAATTTTCATTCAAATATAAATAGACAAGTATTTTATTCTTTTGTGTTATTGAATATTCTTGAAGCTGCAACATGTGGAGCCACGGTGGTTAAGTGGGTTTGACGCTGGCTCGCTAGTCTGGAGATTGCATGTTTGATCCCTGCATTAGCCGAGAAAGTTGATCAGGATTTTCCAGCATGGGTTTCACCTTGTCAGTGGTGCTGGATTGAGGACATGACAAGGACAGCTGTCTAGATGTTCAGATGGGATGAAAAACGGAGGGCCTGTGTATACATTGGCGTGCACGTAAAAGATCCTTTGGCAGTTGGAATTCGATGTAAGAGTAGGCTGTAGTGACGCTGTCTGGGCAAAATTACCCTCATAGCACACTGTATGGCGTCTTCATTAGCCCAGTCGGAGCAGAACAGTAGGACGTTAAAGCCATTTCATTTCATTTTTGCAATATGTATGGTGCAGTAAATTACGTTATTAAACCCCATTTCATTTCAAACGAAAAAAAAACAAAACCCAAGGTTAAAAGATAGGACTTTTAATAATAACAACCAGTAGAATACATTAATGATCAATCAAGTGCTAGCTAGACACATAATAGTTTATTATAAGTTTATTTATATTCTTCTATTGAGCTCAATTTGACCCGTTTTATAACTCAACCCATTTCTATATACATGTAGGCTACTGTAATGCAAAGTATGGTATATGGCCTATATAATGCACCCATTTCTATATACGGTAATGCACAGTATGGTATATCGCCTATATAATGCACTGTGATGCTTGGATATATCTACTATATAAATAAACTGTTTATTTTACCTATTTCTGTTCATACTTCAACAGTAGCGTAAGAGGCATATTATATACATATAAGGCACAGGATCACGAGGAGTTGCGGCCCTCTGAACTGACGAATCTGCTGTATCTAAAGTACAGCAGATTCGTCGGTTCGTGAATAAACCCACAAATTGTGGATAAAGTACAGCAGATTCGTCGGTTCGTGCATAAACCCACAAATTGTGGCTAAAGAGATTTTGTTTTGGTCAAATGATAATTAGCAATTTTCATTCAAGATTAGCTATTTTTCTGGCCATAATCTCATATATAAAAGAGATGTTGTTTTAATGAAAATTAAAAGACCTTGTCCAGCTATGTTTAATAGCAATTTTCAATCTAAATTAAAGCAGCATTGTGGAAGATTAGATAAAGAGCTGACAGTTCTCACTAAATAGTTGAAAAATAGATAATGTAAGCGGGATATGCTGAAAATTGCAATCAAATTACTTCACTCTAACGATAATAAACAAAGTCTAGGTTATCCATTTTTACGGTTAATCATCAACTACAGATAGAATTCAAATCTGTGGAAAATCAGACCCATCCGATGACTTCGAGACTTGCTTGTTAATAAATGTCTAATTAATAATTTACAGGTATATAACAATTTCAGGCCTAAAGAAAGACCTGCAATAGGCAGATTTAGCATGTTAAACCATTATCAAGGCCATAATCCAAGATATTAAAGTCAATATCTACAGATCAGTTTAGGTAAACATTAAGAGGTGATGGGTTACATAAGTGTATTACTTAGAAATAAATCGTGTGTTATCTGGTAGAATGATAGCTACATGCTTCACCTGTTGTAGGGGAGAGAAAGAGAGAGAGAGGTGTTTAATACACAAACTAGGTCATTTCAGGACTAACATATGGTTCAATTTTATTACAATAATTCGCTTGCACGTAGGGGTCCTTAGCATATGGAGGAAACCAGAGGACCTGGAGAAAACCCATGATGTTGGATAGGCAACCCTACTCTTTGTCACATACAACCCGGGAATTGAAACCACGCCAGTTTACTCAGTGGCTGACCTTGCATGCTAACAATTCGGCCATCTAACCCTCCTCTCTTCTAGCAGATATTTATTAAAACATACACGTACCAGTACTGGCAATGTGAATTTGCCAAGAGGAAAACCTTGATTTCATGAGTTGTTACAATATACAAAAGGGGTTGTTACAATATACAGGGGGGGGGGGAGATACACTATACACAAAATGACAAAATACAATAGGGGTGGTGCTATATACATTAAGGGATGTTACAATGTACAGCAAGGGGAT